CAATGTGGTATATACTGTATGTGTTTGCTTATCTATGCCACCTTTCTGGCCAAAGACACCCTTCCCAAAGCCAGCCTGTAAACATGATTAAATGATGTGAAACCGTTTCATGAAATACATCTCAAATAATCCAATTACACAATTAGAACATACTTTATTTTTAGTAAAATACAGATTGAAACAGAAACAATATAAAGGTCTGCTTATAAGTTAACAAAGAAGGAGCCACAGGTGCTTCCTTCATGAGAGTGTGCCAGAAATATGGGGCCAACACTAAAAAGGCTCTGTCTATAAAGCTGATGAACTGATGGACTTTGGCTTAAATGGTTGTAGATTCTAGGGGTTAGTGTAAATGTATCAGATATGAAATAGAAATATATGTATGCACACACACACATGTAGATATGCATATGGCATCAGTGTACAATGCCCTCCTACACATTTGGTATACCATTAGGCCCCTGGCTACAGGCCTGCTTTGGTGGCATTTCCAGTTTCATTTTTAAACATTTGAAACCTGCTTTGATAGTATAATATCAGGAAGGATATCCTGTGTGGCTGAAAATGAGTCAAAGAAGAAGAAGGCTTTCCTCCAAATACCAACATGGCAGTCATGAAACTGCATAAGCTTCTCCTGGCGCTGTGTTGCTGCCTCTGCCGCCGCCACCAGTGCCGCTCAGCTCTTCCCTAGAGCAGTTCTGTAGGCTCGCTTTCAGCCTGGTGTTCCACAAGGCTCCTGCAAGGCCCTCAGTGGAATCCAAGCGCCAAAGGAAAGGCAGCTGAGGACCAGATGCTGGTTCAGCTGGGACAGAACTACATGGGCAGGGGAAAATCTTTGGCACTGGAAGTCCACACACAAAGCAGAGGACACTTGGCTGGTGTAGATGTTCCACAGGTGATATGTTCCACCAGCAGGACAGGAAGAGATGGGATGTGGTGGGGCAGGTGGAGACATCAGTGAAAGTGGGGAGAGGAGAAGCAGCCCCCTCAGCCATGCTCATGGCATAAAGAGAGGGCAATGGATGTGGTGACTGCTGCACCCGCAGATTTCCTCCATTTCTCAAACATTGACACATGCCAGGATGGCTCCACTAAAAACTCTTTGGAAGAAGGAAACACATAATTTCTTTTAAAAAGCTGGCCAGTCTACCAAGTTTGACATTCATAGAAACATAGAAACAGAGCAAGCCAGAAGGGGTCTCCCGGGCCATCTAGTCTGACCTCTGGCACCAGCCGGCTCCGCTCACGACATGCCCACCATGTGGACGTCCAGCCTATCCTTGAACACCCGCACCAATGGGGCCTGAACGACCTCTTGTGGAAGCCCATTCCACACCCTCGGGGTCCTGACTGTCAGGAAGTGCTTCCTGGCATCCAAATGGAACCTTGGCTCCCTGAGCTTTGGAGCGTGTCCTGCCTTCCTCTGCAGGGGAGAACAGGTCTCTACCCATCTCCATGTGACATCCCCTCACATACCTGTATGTCGCCAACAGATCCCCTCTGAGTCTCCTCTTCTCCAGGCTGAAGAGACCCAGTTCCCTCAGTCTCGCCTCATACAGCATCCCCTGCAAACCAGCCACCAACCTTGTGGCCCTGCACTGCACTGACTCCAACCTGGCTATATCCTTTCTGTAATGAGGGGCCCAAAACTGAACACATTACTCCAATTGCGGCGCACCAGAGTCATGTAGAGTGGTAGTAATACCTCTCTTGATCTAGAAACCACACTTCTGGCTATGCAACCAAGGGTGGCATTCGCCCTCTTGACCACCGCATCTCACTGCTGACTCATGTTTAGCCTGCAGTCAACCAGTATCCCGAGGTCCCTTTCACAAGTGCTGCTAAACTTCTAAACAGACTATATTAATTTCCTTGGTTCTAACCTCGCACCAGGGTGAAAATATTTATTTTGGATGTGTAGGTTCATGTATCAACTGTCTCAGTGCCCTTCAGGCTGTTTTAACATCAAGGCTGTGTCTAAATCTCTGATTTTTTTTTTATTTAAATGTTTTATTTTATTTTTATTTTTTTAAAAATATTTTTATTTAAATGTTATTTTAATTGATGGTTAAATTATTTATTGCTTTTATCTAACTCCGGGATGTTTCCAATTCTGTATATTTTTGTATATTGTTATTTATTTGTTGGAAGCCGCCCCGAGGCTTATGCGAATGGGGTGGCATACAAGCACTCAAAATAAATAAATAAATAAAATCTGAAAGGCTCCTGAAATTGAATGGGAGTGACTTCCAAGGAAACATGTTTTGTAGCAATGGCCATGCCAATCTTCCTTGCTTTTTTTTAGAAATGGCCACCATGCTGCTTCTGTAGACTATGGAAGGGCAAAAAAAAATGCCAAAGGTAAAAACTTGAGAATCTGGGTGGCCGGCCTGAAGGCAAAATTCGTACCTTACTTTGCTCAATATAGTTGTGTTCTGGCTGTGTTTATAATCTGATGTAACTTTTAAAAGCATGCATCACCCAAATAAGCAATCCCATTTGATGTTTCTGGCTTTATTTTTTCCCTCAGTTTCTTTTTAAATAATTAATTGTTTATTTCCATTCATTGGGGGAGGGTGTCAGTTTTCTCAAACCTAAATTCATTCGGCAACTTCAAAAAGAGCAAGGTCTTGTCTTGCAGGTGCAGGCAGTTTGGCATCTGTTTCTAGCATAAATTATAGACTGGAGCCGTCTGTCCTTTTCTGCTGCATTTTAGGTTGGAGAGGATAAAGTAGGAAAGGCAAATTATTTTCACCGTGCTGTACACATTTGTTGCTTTTGTACCGCTGTTCTCTTGAGGGTTTGCAGATATTTAAAAGCCGTGCATGGGTGGATGATGATGATGATGATGACGACCATGACCACGACCATGACAAAGATTGCAGTGGGAGAACCACAGGCTGTGAAAGTTCTCTCATGCGACCTTTGTGTCATCTCTGAAAGAAGGATTTCTCTGTACCCAGACTTCCGGTTTTCTACATGAGGCATTTATTGGGCAGGTCACAAGTCACAAGAACCAACTCAGGCACTAAGCAAACAGCTCACAGTGTGCCAGACATATCCCTTGCCCACCTCCCTTTCAGGGTCCCTCCCTGGTCCCTCCCTGGCCCCTGTCTCCTTCCTCCTTGTCCTCCAGGGTCTCCATGACAGGCCCAAGTTCTCGCTTTCCTCCCACTGTGATCAAGGGCTATTTTTGGCTCTCTGTGGCTTTTTTTCACTTGAAGCTTTTTAAGAGGTGCAGGGGCGAGATCATAATTCATGGAAAAATGCGAGCCATCTTTTTCAAAAGAAGTGAAAGTGCTGACAGCTAGCTGTCCAACTCTTGCTTCCTTTTAAAATGAGACACTGATTAGCTTCAGTTTGAGGCACACCCCTTTCTCCCCTCAAACGCAACTAAATTTCATAGAGACAGTTTTCAGAATCATTGTAAACTCAACAAAAATCACATGCATTTCAGTCCTCAGGAAGACTGCTAGTCCTGCATGAAAAACTATCAAGGCAGGTGGTCTAGAGAGAGGAAGGAGTTGTGTGCCGACGTGCTGCCATTCACAGCCATCCTTGTTTTGGGCACTGTAATCGCAGGAAAGTGCCTGTGAAATCTTGGCTTCCAGCTTCCAGCTAGTTCACCCTGTGCTGGGTCTATACTAGGAATGGGGGAACGGTGCAGCCAATATGCACACATTTGATTTGGGGTGTGCTGCCTTCGCTCTGTGTAAGTATGATGATGAAATACTTGCCTTCAGAGCTAGAATACCTGAACCAGCCCTAAGATTAGAACACTTTCTCATCCAGGGGCTTAAGAGAAAGATAACTGAAAACAACAATCAACTGAAATTGCTTTATTTACTTTAAACCTTGTTTCTGATTCCTTGGCTATATTGCTGCTGTATTTTTAGAATATATCAGTAATTCTTGCTATATCTTCTCTCTATGTGAGATGAGAGAGAGAGAGAGAGAGAGAGAGAGAGAGAGAGAGAGAGAGAGAATGAGAGAGAGAGAGAATCTACTTCCCTGGGTGACGTGACATTCGAAGGGCAGCACTCATTGAACTTTGGAAGGAAAAATCCCTTAGGAGACTAGGACATTTTTCTAATTTTGGGTTTATTTTACAAAGATAGCAGCACACTGTACGGCATTCATGCAAATAGCAAATGAACTGCTATTCATCCTGCAGATTTTTCTTCAGCTGTAGCTCAGTTCTGTGCCTCTCTCTGTCTCATGCTGTCTATCCAGTAGAAAGAAGGAGATAGGTTCACACAATGCAGTATCCCACACTCAAGGGTTGAGTGTGGATTGTCACTGAACCATGGGTTGTTACAGAAACATGAGTTGCCATGTTGTCTGAACCCATCTTGACAGCAAACCATGGTTTGTTAACATCAAAGAATCCACAGTTCACAGTCCAGCCACAAACCATGGATTCTCCTCATTTTTTATTTTTTTTATTTTTATTTTGTAGATAACAAACCATGGCTAGTTGTCACAGCTGGTTTGAGACAATGCAAAAACAATAGCATACATATGAGTATGGACGATTGGACTGTGTGAATGTGGAGAAAAAGGTGCTTCTGTTCTATCTGTGCATTTCAAGAGCCATCCCTTCTCTGTGGGAAAGGGAGGCAGAACGAAACTCTTTCTCCAAACTGCTTCATGTATTCTAAGTATTCTCAGCCACTGCGCCAGGGCATCTTGGGCTACTTAACAAATGCCAGCCTGTAATTCCGGCCCATTTCACTTTTCTATTCAGATCCCAAAGCACCACTTCAAGGTGACCCCACTGTTGTTGCCATTTCCCCAGCAACCCCATGACAGTATTTCAGAAAGTCCCTGCAGGTCAGACAAGAGTGTTTCTGGACTTAGCCAGTTGTAGCCACTCACCAAATCACATCGCTGCTGGTATTATCTGCTGGAGGAAGGGCAGGGGTATAGTAGACTGCGTAGCCAAGCAAATAAGTGGGTCAGCTGTAAGTTCTTGACTAACCCATGCCCGTCTGTTGCAGGTGCATGCCGCGGAAGCAGTATGAGCCAGAAAGGATCTTTGAGCAGCTGCCCTGGCTCTGCAAAGTAAGCATTCTTGCTCTCTGATCAAACAAGCAAGCAAACTCCTGAAAGGAGCTTTCTCAGGGCTGTGCAGTCATGGGTGCGTTGAACAGAGGGTGCTTGGCCGTGCTAGCTGGGAAGGATGGGGGTGCAGTCCAATATATCCAGAGGAGACTAGATTGGGGGAGCGCACCCTAAGGCAGTATAGGGGCGACAGCTTTTCAGAGGCTGGGAGGGGATGCTGAGAGCTGTCATTGCTCACAGTCCACCTGTTCGTTTAGGGTGCTGTATTCCTGATGAGCATGCCCAATACTGTTCTTGTAATGCCCCCAGGTCAGAAGCCCCTAAGCTACTATCAGCAGCTGGCTAAGAGTGGAGAATTAATGGGAGTCAGGGAGCCTGAAATACCAATACATTTATGAGTTCTACTTGTTCTTATATTCTGCTTTAAACTGGCTCGGATTGCTATGATATGGGACATAAAAACAGGCAGAAAATCTGCTAAACTTGGTGAATAAATGGAAAGACATGGATGGTCTTTTGCAGGTATAGGGTTTATAGACCAGTCTCAGGTATAATTATTTACTTGACGGGTGGGGATTGGTAGGGTGCAGCTGTGGGAATGCAAAGAAGCATGCAAGAGCTGTTGGTGATCTCATGGTATGAGGAAGATGGAGGGTGTCGTGTCCAAACCTTGCCCGGGACTCTATCAGTCTGTGTCGCACATGAGTGTTTAAAAGACTATTATCACCATGAACTCAGTGAAAGAAAAATCTTGACTTGGTCTTGATTGTGCCTTTCTCTTTTCCCAGTGGCAGCATGGGCAAGGCAAATGGAGCTGGTAAATTGAGCGCGAAAGATTTATACGGTAAGTTCCCAGGATGGAAACATTTATGTCAATGACATCTGCCAAAGTATAGAATTCTAGAGCCAGCAGTCTGTCTGGGATCTGACTTCATTATGTGATGAAGCATCGTCTCTTGCTGGTGCTTCTAAGGAATTATGGGCGCCGGAAGTGTGGTGGGTAAACGCCGATGTTCACATGAAGGCCAGCTCTCATGAGCTGGACTTTCCCTAGGCTCTAGGCTTTGAGAGTCCACTTAGTTCTTTGCAATGCAGATCTTGACTGGCACATCGCAGCTAATAAGGCAATGCAACTCCAGAGGCCCCCTAGCAAGCTGGACAAGAGCCTCTGCTCATGAATGCTAGTTGAACCCAAACTGGAAGCGACCCACCAATCACCTTTTCCATTCCTCCACCATCAGGGTGCCTCCCACTGGCAGAGCCAGCAAGCCCTTTAACCGGGTAGTTCATCTTTCCCAACACCTTGTGGTTGGGTCTGGGACTCGGCAAGACAATGGCTCCTGAGTCCCTCCTCTCGAGTCCCCTCCCATCTCTTCCAAAACATGTCTGCTCTCATGGTTGGCCTGAGAACTGCAGGAAGTGCCTGTGATGGGGCTTCCGACCCCCTTTGGTACTCCTGCCCTCCCTTTGCCTCTTCTGTGGGGTCCTCCCCTTCAGCACCCAGCAACACGAGCGAAGGAGTCCTGGCCCACTCGCTGCATCAGCAGTGATGGTGATCCAAAGGGCTCAGGAGGTCAGATTGGTGGATGCCACAGGCTTGGGAGGCCCCCTCTACCGAGAAGGGCACACGCACAGCCCAGCCAGTGACCCCTGGAGCACAGAGACTTCAGAGAGTGCCATGCCTGCAAGGGAAGAGCGGGGAAACCCAGTGCATATATGGACATGGGGCTTGCTGGGAATGCTTGTCTCACAGACCTGGGTCAGACCCTGGGTCTCGGGGTCAGAATGGTTGGGCTCCTGCCAAGGATCCAGCCTGCAGCAGGGGGCCACTGGCAAGTACTCCCTGGACTTGCTTGTCCTCCTCAGCACTGCAACCAGCCCCTGCGCTGCCATTCAGTCTGGCCCAGGCAGCGGAGGTGGTGAGGCGGAGGAGGCGGAGGAGGAGGAGGAGATGCCCAGCCTGCTCACTGGCTGAGTCTCTGTTTGCGGCAATGATGAGGCAGAGGACAAGGGGCAGGAGTAGCGGGGGCCACGGTGGAGGAAGGAGGCAGCCCCTTCCCTCCTGAGGGCCCTGAAAATCTTGGAGCCAGCCTCGCATGCAGAGCAAGCCATTTTTTGTTTCTTTCATGGCTTGGGCTCCTGGGAGGAGCCAAGCAGGAGCAGACACACCATGTGTACCAGCACACAACTCCTTCCTGTTTATTTGCTTGCAAACATTGTCATGGCTTTGGGATGCTTTGCAGATCGCAGCTGCAACAGAAGTCCTTTTTCCACTAGTGTACACCTCAACTGCTCCATTCTACCGCACCTGCTGGTTTGCAAAGCAGCAAAAGAAAGAAAAAGTTTTTCTCCCCATACTCATTTTTGACTGAAATACATTTCTAAAGTCTTGATTTTGCAGGAATATACTACCTATTATCTTCAGGCAAGGCTGAACTGGTTAGGACTGGCTCTGCAATATTAGCTTTGCTAATATAACTGAGCACTGGACCCTCTGGGAAATGTGCATATTATGGAGTTAAAGCAGGGCTCTCTGAACTGTTCTGAGTTCCCAGATCAGCTTACGGCAGAAATGTTTGCTGTTATTAGCAGTTTAATGGATTATGTTCTTTAATTAGATATTGTGCAACTTCAGCAGAGCTTCTGTCCTTTTAAATGTGGGAAAGGATATTGGTTTGCAGGCAGCCCTGTTCGAGATGCCGGCGGCTCCTCCAGGCAAGCAGCAGCATTAAATCCCCTGCAGCCATTAATGCTTTTATAGGCATGCTGGCTCCCGTGGCTGCATGGGAAGAACCGCTTGGCCATGGCTACTTGCTTTGACTGGAGGTTTCCCTCAGCTGGTGGCTGCCTTGCCTGCCCTTCATAAATGGGCTTACTGGCCACGGACAAATGTTCCCTATTCCTTCGTCTCCTGCTCCCACATGACTCCTGTGAGCAGGATGGGCAACACAGGGCCTTCCAGATGTTATGCCCCAGGACTCCCATGTTATGGCCTACGACTCCCTGCCTGTTGGCATTGCTGGATAAGGCTGCTGGGAGTTGTAGTCCAAACCTTCTGGACAGCCCCAGGTTTCCCACCCCTGCTGGAGCTAGGCCCGACTCCCTCGGCTCGGCAGCTTGTCTCCCCCACCCCTGCTTGCCAAGAGAAGAGCAGCGGGAGGGGAGGAAGGCACGAGGCTGTAGGGAGGCTTTCTGCAGGGCTGGGAGGTGCTGCCTCTGTAGGTGCTCCAGGATTTGGGGAGCCAGTGCAGTGGGAGCACTCTGGAGGTCCCCTCCCGCAAGACTCACGCCCTGTCCTCAATGCCTGCACATCAGCCCCAGATCTCATGCGAACCGTCTTTCCCAAGCAAGCACCCTCCAGACTACAGTTCACATCATCCACTGCCCACTGGGAGGGTGGGAGTTGCAGTCCCACACATTTGGAGAGCCCTGGTCGGGCTCACCCGGCCACACTGGGCATTCATTCTCCTAAGTACCAAGGTGCCTTTTTTCTCCATGGTCCAGTAAGCAGAGAATGTGGCGGCCCTTGATCGACATGTGATGGGCTGTTCGGCACCATCGCGACTGGCCATTGACGCCATGGTGGATCTACGAGCGATCAGTGCCTACGTGCGGCAGAGCCCCGGCTTGCCCGGAAACCTAGCCGCAGTTCCATGCAGGAAGGCTGCCCTGGTGGCCCGGCACGTTGCCCTGCTTCCTCCACCAGGAAGTGGCCACTGGCCTCCTGCTCACCACTTTCGCAGAGGTCTGCAAGTGCTGACATTTGCATTTTTATAGTACAACCAGTGAATCATTAATGCCAATAAGGAAATAAGGAAATAAGTATTGCCGAGCAAACCTGAAAGAAGCAGGGAAAGGTGATAGCAAAATGATAATAATCTGGAAAAGGGATGTGAGGAATCATTTATTCAAATGAAGGAACCGTCTAATATTTTTCATTCACCTAAAGCGGGCAGTATGCCAGACTTATCCAAAAAATGCATAAGATCACTGCAGGGAAGACAATTGTTACAGATTCGCTTTGCTGAAAATACACCAGTTCTGATAACATACCTACCTTACTTTCCTGAACACATAAATCTCAATATTGGCAGAAAGGGAGGCATGAGAGAAGCAGGCAGTTTGAAGGAACTGGGACACACTGCAGCACGACCAGATGGCGTTCACACCAAGGATTCTGGTGGAACATAAACCTCATTGTCAAAGTGTGTTTTCTGGACTGGAGGGGAGTCAGATCTGACAAAAATAAATAAGCTTCTCAGTCAGCCCTAGAAATAACAGGAGATGCATTAGCTTGTAATTTTCCGGGCAAAACAGTGCTTCCCACTGCTGATGTGCTGTGGGGAGATGGCAGATGCGCCTCTGGACTCGCTTGTGGAATGTTAAGGGCACAATCTAGGCGTCTTAAGACAGAAAATAGTCCTCCAGCTCCCGGCGTCCCTCAGCGCGGCTGGCTGTGGGACTTTCTCTGTTTAAACATGTGTAGAACTGCACCGTAAGCATCTTTGCAAGTTGTATCCCCCCTCGTTGAGTCATATGTTCTATCTACCATGACATCTGCCACAGTGGAGACTATCTCCAAATTATCTGAGGGCTTCAGCATGTTTATGGAAACATGTCAGCTAAGGATACTAAAACAACAGTGTGCGTAACTAGAAGGCACGTTTTGTGTCACGCCAAATGATAAAAGGGAGATTCTATCTAGTAGAAAGGATGATTTCTGCAGGTCTGACTGGGGGATGGTGGGCCTCAGGCCCCTGCAGAGCAAGGGCCTTCCTGCCTCAGCTCCCGTGTGTGGCTGGTCCTTACTCTGGCCTGGCCGGATTGCTCAGGAGCGCCCCATGCAGACATGGGTCCTTGTTGGGAGCTATGACACCTGCCTCTGCCCCAGGACACGCAAGTCCTCCGCGGGATCCTGCCCCTTGTGTTGAAGGAATGCCAATGCATTGCATTTTCTCCCATTGGCATCATGAGGCCACATGCGCTATAGACTGAAATTTTCAGGCAGCAGTGGGACTGATATGCAAGCACTAGAAAGGAAGAGGAGACATAGAGAGCATTTGGGAAACTCTCTTGCAGGACAGAGCTCAGAAGACATCGCAGGCCTGTTGCAACGATTATGTAAAGTGCTCCGAATAATGGGGATGTGGTAGCACCGCGGAACCAGGAGCGCCAAGAGCAGTATATGCTCCCATAGTAGTAACAAGAGCCAATGAATGACCCTTCATCCTGCTTGCATGAATGAGTGAGCTGTCCTTTCCTTGCCACAGGTATTTGGTTTCTTCCTCCGGGGTCATTGGAGTACTGCAGGCTCACTGCCTTTGGCGACTGCCACTTGGGCATCTGATGTGCCCAGCCCTGCTTTCTAGAAGCGTCGCCAGCCGCACTTGCCAAAAGATCCCATGGCTGAGGGGCACTGCAAGTAACTATCAGGTTACTGCCTCATTCAGTGCACAGCTGCCAGCTGAATAAATGTTAATGTGGACCATGAATAAATAAAGCCACGTCTCTGCTTACTGGCTTCTGTTCTGAACCAAAATGAAAGGACAGTGGAGGGAAATCCATTATTTTCTTGGCAAGCTCAGGAGAATGTCTGCAGCGGAAGTACTTCGGGATAAGTAGTGGTTAACAACAGGCTGATTGCTACTTTTTCTGTTAGCACCCCGCCCCCGGGGGTGGGGGAACCTTTAGAAGGGAATAATTCAGTGTTTGCTGGCTGGTTTAGCTCCTGCAAGGGTGCTGCCCCCCAGGTGTTTTTCAGCTATAGTGCCCTTCACCTACCTACCCACAGCATTGGCCAGACTGGCTGATACTGATAGGAACTGGAGTCTAGCAATATGGGGG